TGGATCCCACATTATCTTACCACACACTGTAGAAAATCACTTGTATAAAATCTCTGGTTCAATAATAAAGGCTATAAACTGTATTCCAGAGGAAAGATAAAGTAGAGGGGGCTGCAGTCAGGAATCTCAGGTTCTGTTTTTGGTTATTACTATTTTTACCAGACTTCTAATGAGGCAAATAACCTCAGTTTCTCTAAGCCTCATTATTATTCACCACATAGAACTGTATGATAAGATCTATCTATCAACAACGGTGTAATATGTAAATGTTGTTTGTAACAAAATATGAAGTACACAAATGTTTTTAAAGAAATGCAAAGTATTCAATTAGCTTGTTAGTATCTTTCTGCACTTTTGCTAAAATTTGATGTTAAATTTAAAATTTAATTTTCTTACCTCCTGCCTGATAAAACACAGGAACAACACAAACATTAAGAAAAAAAAGCAAAAAATGCTACATTAAAAAGATTTTAGAAACAAAAGGACAAAAAGCAATTTCTTTCCACTTAGTTTTGGAAACAGTGTTTCAATTACATCATACAAGAATTTTTGGTGAGGTGACCAAGTCCCAGTTTGTCTGAGATCTCCCAGTTTTAGCACTGAAACTCCCACATCCCAGGAAATCCCTATTCTGTGCCAACTTCAATGGTTAGTCACCCTAATGCCCTGCCATTACTCGAGGCTTTTCCAGAGCTTACGGCTCTATTATCTGCCCTTAGAAAAATTCCAGTGCTATTTTAATTTCTATTTATCTGAAAAGCACTTGCATATTCTTCCTGCTGGAATTTCATTCATAACCTTTTGGTGAGCATATAAATATTTATGGAGTTTTGCTCTATGAGTAGATATTTAATAAATGTGTACTAATATTTTTGACCTTATTAGGACATAGGGACGATGGGATTACCTAATTGCAGAACATTTATTCTTTTGGCACCAAGGAAATATTAACGTGCCTATTGTTTTTCAAGGACCTTGTCCTGCTGTTGTTTACAGACTACTGTCCTACCCAGCAATCACCATAGCTGAGAAGGCAGTAAAGTAACATGGGCAATACCTTTAAGATCAAGTCACTTAAGAAAACATCCTATGTGGGTCATCCCTTGGCCAATTTGGGGCTGAAGAGAAGTTGTTATACTGGTTTCTTTTAATAGCCTTATAAACTAACCTGATTCTAAGATATTTTTAAAAATATTAACAGAATGAGTGTTGTTGAAAATCTGGTTATGATGGTTTATCCATGAATAGGAGCTCCCCAAATTCAGAAGCACTATGATACTGCCCAAAAAAAGAAGTCATGAGACTATGGAAAACGTTTCTGAGAAAAAGCAGACCAATTTTCTTCTGTGGAAAATGCAGATGACAGAGGCCATGTACATATATGTATAAGGAAAAATAAGGCCAATTAAAAGGTTGTAAGTCCAATTGGCTATAGCTCCCCCCTCCACAAGATGTAAGGTGACATGACACTTTTTAAACCTTCTAATTTTGTGAACACATAACTATGTGCCAGGCACTGTGTCAAGTGCTTTAACTACGTTATTCCATTTGATACCCACAAATAATCCTATGAGAATAGGAATTATAGTCTTCCAAAGTGAAGCGCAGAGAGGTTCAGTGATTTATTCAAAGTTATGAACAGCAGCTGGAGAGGCAGAGGCAAGTTCAGCTGTTTCCTCCGGAGCCTAAGCTCTTAAACTTGAGCTTGTGCTGCTTCTCAACATTTGTGGACAAAATTCTGGTGAAATTCTACCTCCACTCCTAACTTCTCCTGACCTTCAGTCTTGTATATTAGGATGCCTTCTCAGCATCTCTACCTTGATGCCTAACAAGCATCTCAAATTTGACATGTTTAAGTAAATGGCACCACCATTCATCCAGTTGCTCAAGCCCTAAATTTAGGAGGCGTCCTTGATTCCTCTAGCAACCCCATAGTCAAGCCATCAGCAAATTTGTTGGCTCTACCTTCAAATTATATAGGAAGCAGACCACTTATCTCCATAACCCTAGCCCAAGCCATTGTTATTATTCACCTGGACTACTGAGATGGCCTCATAATTGGTCTCCGCTTTCATGGTCCATTCTCCACAAAGCAGCCAGTTATTAAAGGGAGAAAAGCCAGTTCATATTGTTCCATTCTTCTGCTTAAAATCCTTTAATACTTCCCATTGTAATAATGTAAACTTCTTAAGATGGCCTACAAGGACCTACTGGCCCCCTGCCTTGATCTGCCGCCTCTGACTTTATCCCATAGCGCTCTCTTGTTTGCTCAGCATGCTTCAGTCACATTGGTCCTTATGATTTCAAATCTATCTGTGATGTAAAGTCATGTACTTTGGGAGGATCTGGAAGGGCAGGGTTGAGGGTTTGAAAAAACTGATGAAAGTCTGAAAGAGTTGCCTAGAGTGAGAGAACAATTTAGAAAAATTTAACAGGACTGCTGGGTGGTGTTGAGGGTTCAGCTGTGGTAGGTGATTGGAATTTAATAACAGAATGCCTATGATTATGCAAATTTCAACAGTAGTGGTCAGATGCTCCAGTACCAAAGGGGAGGATAGGAATGGTAGGGTTTACTCAAGGTAGGGGTGGATGAAAAGAAAGACAGGGCAGAGAAGTCTGGAGTATTGACGAGCATTGCTGATTTTTTTCTGTAGGTATATAACAACGGGGATGGGGTAGAGAGAAGTGTTGCTAGTGTCCTTAGCTCGCTCCAGTTGTGACAACCTAGAATTGCTAGAAACAGAATCAAAGGACCAAGACCTACCAGCATTGATTTTAGGAGTTTTAATTTGCAAATTCTAAGATAATTGTAGGAAATCTGATTATTAAAAAATTTACAAAATGGACAAGTTAGTAGTGCCTTATTTACATTATAAAGGAATCTTTAACTTTTCAAAATAAATTTCCAAAGGGAACCTGCATGTTGAACAGTAAGATTGATCAGGAAGCTAGGGATTCAGACTTCAAACGTTTTCCAGTCTGGCCGGTCCTTCAAGTTATCCCAAGAGGGAGTTTTCTCATGCCTTTTCTTCTTTAAGAACACTTCTCTGCGTCTCCTGTCCTACTTACAAAGATTTAAGTCTACGGTTAAAGTGGTATAAAATACTGTTTGTTGTCCTGGCCACTAAGTTGCTTAATGTTTTGCCATTTGCCCTCCTTGCACGTTAGGCTCCCCAAACTAAACTACCGTACACGCACCTTCTGTACTTCTGCTTTTGTTATTCTTAGACTAGATCATCTTCCCTATCTTCTCTGTTAAACTCCTATCCATCCATCAACACTCATCTCACACAGCACATTTCTGGATAAGAGACCACTACGATCTCTCTGCTTTATATGGTCCCTGTAAATATTTCTATCATTGCCTATATTGTCTTATAATGCATTTTATATATAGCCCAGTATGGAATACACATTGTGTGGTATGCAGTTTTTTTTTAAATTTGTTGGTTTTTCCTCTCTTTTTTTCTTGGTCCATCTTGCTTAAGTTTTGCTCATTTCACTCCTCTCCATTGTTTTTGTATACTCCATTTATCTCCACTCTGATCTTTATTTCCTTCCTTCTACTCGCTTTTGGGTTTATTCTGCTCTTTCTCTAATTCTTTCCTCTTTGGTGGTGGTGGGAGGAGGTAATTTATTTTTAGTGTAGGTACTGGGGGTTGAATTGAGGACCTCGTGTATACCAAGCATGTGCTCTACCACTTGAGCTATACCTTCCCCTTTTAGTATTTTTATGATTGATGTTTAACGTCACCTAAGGGCTAATACAGGGCAAGCGCTGTGTGATCCTGGTCAAGTCGGCTCCCCTTTGAGCCCCAGGTCTAAGTGGGGACTGCGGCGCCACGAAGGTGGTAAGTAACACAAGCGAAGCCCTCACGCAGCGCTCATGGGAGGAGAGCCGCGACTTGCGCATCGCCGCGGGCCCCGAGCGGGTGCCCGGCGAGCCGTGCTCAGGAAGCGCTTCTTTAAAATGACGTCACTACGGGCGACTCGGAAACCACTGCACGTCTGCACCGGGGCACAGAATCAAGGGAATTACTCCAAACGAGCTTCACCGGCCACTCAGTTTAGAGGTTCTGCCTGAAACAGATTTCCACTGAGCAGCCCCGGCAAGAGGAGCGTTAGCTCAGCAGCCGAGGCCGCCCCGGAGTTATTCCAGGGCGGGCGGGAAGCGTCTCTACCGCCCGGTGGGAAGGCGTGAGCGGCTGGCTCTCCACGGCCTGCGGCAAAGACCGCCCCCTGGGCAGCTGAAGGGCGCCTCTCGGGGACCAGGGGCCACGGCCTCCTCAAGGACACGGACCCAGGGATCGGCCCACAGAGCGACCGCAGCC